ATCAATCACTATGTCTGAGCCTATCCACTAAATATTTCTAGAATTGGTCCCCTTTTTTCCATCCCCCTAACCTCTCCTTTGAATAACACCCCACTGCATCTCTATGCCCTGCCATGGGCATGGATGAGTCCTTGTCTGTACCCCTTACTTTGCATCTGCCATCCAGACACCAGGACCACTGTCGGAATCTTCTACCTCTGCTCTCTGCCTTGGCTTGGCTCCTTCAATCTACATTCCCTCTGCTTACAGAGCGATCTTTTTACAATGCAAACCTGACCCTATCATCCCTACCTCCAATATCCACTTATACCCACTCCCAAATGGAATAAAACCCAGTGTTCTGGCTTGGGTTTACAAAAGAACTATTCATGACCTGGCTTGGCTGTCCCCTACTTCTTCGGTCCCTTATCTACCTAAGACCTCACACTTTATGCCCCAATGTTATCAAGTTTGGGGGAAGTCCCTGGATGCATCACACACTTTTGGTGTCTCCCTGCCTTTGCTCAGGGTCTCATGCTCACATTAAGAATTTGGAGCTATTTGTGCATATGCATGTGCGTGCACACACACACACACACACACACACACACACACCCCTTATTCCTAGTTTTATCCCGAATGTTAACAACACTCTCCTCTCTGTCCTGTATCTCTGCGCTCTGTATAATGGAGAAATCGAGAGAATGAAGAAAGAAAAGAGGGGGAGACATGGAGACATGGATAGACTTGGGAGCAATTGGGGGAAGTGAAGGGAAGAACAAGAGTGTCCAGAACTCTTCCTTCCTCCCCTCAGACTCCCGCTAAGCCCCTGAGAAAGAAATGCCTGTAGCATGGAAGTGTCTGATGACTGCGCCGAGCTTACAAACCCAGAGCATTTGGGTTTGCTGTCCCACAGGGCTACATTAAATACTCCGCTCTCTTCTACGGCTACTACAATGACCAGAGGACCATCGGGTGGCTGAGGTACAGACTGCCCATGGCTTACTTTATGGTGGGGGTCAGCGTGTTCGGCTATAGCCTGATGATTGTCATTAGATCGTAAGTATGACCATCTTCTTTACAGGTTTTTAATTTTCTTCATACAGACGTCCTACTCCCACGGCCACTCTGTGCCCACTTACCTTCTTGTGGGGGATTTAGACAGAAAAAAAAAATAAAGCAAAGGCAAATTGTTGTATGTGGTATAAAAGACAAACAGGGTAATGTGGGAAGTTCTGTGAAATGGGATAGAAACTCCTTTAGATGAGGCTGAGAACTGCCAGCCATGCTGAAAGTCTGGGGTACAGCATTTTAGACAAAAGAGGAGCATGTGCAAAGGCCCTGAGGTAGGAAATAGTCTAGTGCCGTGGTCGGCAAACTGCGGCTCTCGAGCCACATGCGGCTTTTTGGCCCCTTGAGTGTGGCTCTTCCACAAAATACAGTGCGATTGAAACTTCATGGCCCATGCACAGAAGTTGGGATTTGGCCTGGGTGAGTCTGTTTTGAAGAAGTACTGTTGATATTTGGCTCTGTTGACTAATGAGTTTGCTGACCACTGGCCTAGTGAATTCCAGGAACTGCCAAAAGGCCACTGTGGTTGTATGGTACTGAGTAAGGTAAGACTGGAGAAGTTTTCAAGACCTGTTTTTGCTTTCCCCAGAGCTCAGCTTTTTCTAAAAAACTCTTCTGTTCCTCTATACCTCTAGCTTGCATGAGGGAATCCAGCCTGGTACTTACCATGATACTAGAGGCTCAGCGCATGATTAAATCGTGCACATGTAGGGTCCCCTAGGCCTAGCCTGCCATCAGGGCCATGTCTGCTGCCCCACGACACCTCGATGCTCTGTGGACGCTGCCGGCACCCCGCGTCGCTCCC